TTATGCTCCTGATCTGTGTGTTTGCATGTGAGTGTGAGGTTGAAGAGAGGAGATGGAGAGCCTGTGCCACTTCTAATTAAAATTAAACAGAGAAGAAGAAGAAGGAGGAAAGGGGGAGGGCGCGAGGACAGAGAGACATGGAGCTCCTGTTTGCTTTGAGAAATGCATCATTATGCATCATTATTATCAATCATAAGGATCCCGACACGGTCTGTTTTTTTCCACGATTATAAGTAGTGTCCTTGTAATGATTTGTGTGTTTTTCTCAGTCAGGCTTGTGTATGTGTGCATGACTGTGTGTGTGGGTGTGTGTGTTGTCTGAGTTTTGCTCTATGTGTCAGCCGACTGAGAAGCATTTCTGTGCAGGTTTAAAAAAGTATTATTAAGAAAATGTTCCTGCATTACACCATTATTTGTTATTCAATGAATCACTATGTTTTAAGATATATCAGTTGTAGTTAATATACTTGAATCTATTTCCTGTTAATCATCATACATAATCCCTGTGATGTCAATGACGATTAATACTGAGAAACGTTTGTTTATTTATTGCACTTCGATTTTGTGTCAATATCCCATAATACCGATACCAAAAAATAAAAAAATATATATATCATTATTGTTTTTGTTGGTATTATGGTCAGGGCTAAACAAAGCTGTAGTAAACCAGGCACTGCATTGCATTGTGCTGGCTTCACAGACAAACAGGCAGCAGCAACAACTGTAAGGTTTTCAAATTAAAGGTTTTAAAGATTGAAGTGCACAAATGGTAGTTTTGATCACTTTGAAGGCGATGTTCCGTCTTGTCAGAACGGGTTAGGGTTACACTTGATGCAGACAAATTGTGGGTACTTGCAGTTTAGGGTTAGGGTAAGGTTTGAATGTCTACAAAGCAAGACTGTGCTAGTTGAGAATGCTCAAAGTGTCCAACAATCTTTGATCGGTGACGTGGATCGGCGTCGTCAGTCAGATATCCGATATGAAGATTACGTCAATATTGGACCCGATTTTCGATATTAGATCGGCTCTGTCCCATCTCTACCTTTCTTCAGCTTATCAGTTGGCGTCTAATGGATATTTTTGCGTCTCTGATGTGTTGATTATTAAATCAATCTGAAAAATATATATCTAAGAGCATTTTTTTGATTGCGAATCACAAAATACATGTACTTACATAATTCATATTTTTTTCATTTTCTGTCTGTATTTCCTTTCGTGTATTCTGTCAAAAGCCAAAAAAAAAAAAAAAAAAAAGGAAAGGGGCTCTGACTTCATCAAATGTTTATAGCTCATACTTAAAATTCACTCAATAATTTCTGTTAGCAGTGGGAATGTAAATCCCCAATACTCCATTAAATTACCCTAAGACCATAACAAGGATAAAACTGCACGGGCGTGAAAATATATTCCATCTACTGTGCATGGCCGCTTCCAGTCTGGGCAATTAAAGTGTATTACCAATACAGAATGTGCAAGAGGGGTCAATCCAGAATATGTCTGAGTGCAGCTTTTCTATTCTGGACACGGTTGCATTCATCTACTTATGAACCATTAAATTTCAACGCTTCTCAATGATCTCTTGAGTTTGTCCCCAGCGTCTCCGAAGAATTTTCAAATTACACGGTTTTCCCCCGGGCTATCCCATCCCCAGCAGGCCACCTGCACAGATAATAACCAGAGGATGTTCTCTCACAATTACGGGTACACGCTGGTGATATGATGGATATACGCCGCAGCTGAGCATCATCAACAACACTGAAGTACACATAATTATAGCAAAGAGCCTCCTCAAGGCTGTTAAAGCATTTACACGACAGCTACCAAGAGTACAGAGCAAAAAAGCTCCGAATGTCACGGCAGTTGCCATGGCAACCCATAAAAAACAGTTTGCTTTGCTTTTGCGACCAATAAATTAACGCAACCCCTGTTTTCTGACCAATCAGATCACTAAAAATAATGCATCTCTCTATGAATGGTTGCTAGAAGAAACCCTTAACTTTAGACTCTGCACTTAAAAAACAAAACAAAAAGGTAGAGGCATATTTAATGCAACAATGGTTCAACTTCTCTAATAGAGAGTTTTTAGTACAACATAATAATCTCAATGTTGTTTCTCTTAGGTCCCTGAGAGGAACAATATTACGAGACGCCATTAAAAACTCTGGAAGACCCCGATCTGGTTCAGCTGATTGCCCATGCGGAGTGGACTTTCAATCTCACTCAGCTTAGAGTCAGCACGAGAAGTCTTTAATTCTGCCTGGTTGGAAAACAGTGATATGGTGGACCACAGGGAGTGCTTCAACTGAAGCAAGCTACCCCAAAAACAAACAAAAAAAAAAAATAGTTGTTGTTTTTTTTCCCTCATAGTTATTCATCCGGGGGAGAAATCATCCACAAGCCAGACGGACCGCTGTGACAAAGCAGAGCTCAACATTAGGCTCAGGACTCCCTGAGGAGACATGAGGAGACGCTGTGGTCACAAAATCATTTCTGTTTAGTGAACATACAGCCTTATCCTCCTTTGGCCAATGTACTTTTTAGAGTTGCCTGGCTGGCATTTCATTTAGTAGTGAGTCCAGCATTTCTTCCAAGTCCCAACCTACACTCTGCAATCTATCAGCAGCTGAACTTGCTCCCTAGTGTGACATTCGCTGACTGTTAAACTCCAAACTAATTTTTGGATCTAGCAAAGTAAGCAGAAACTTACAGCTTATAATTACAGCTACAGATTTTACACTCTGTTCACAACATAAAGGTGAGCAGTTTCAGAAACTCAGAGGAACTGTAAACTGGGTTTGGCTTCGTTCGTCACAGCCACACACACACACACACACACACACACACCCCCGGAATTAAATCCACACTTGGTTGGCTTTTAATTAAGCAGGCTTTCCTTGTCCAAGCATGGGTGTATTAAGAGGACTGGAAAACAAGATGGCGACTCAGTGACAGCAACCCATACTTGAAGTTGCTCAGGTCTTCCACAATGCTACAGCTTGCATGCATAAACAACATGAGAAATATTTACAGATGCAACTTTTTGCACTCACATGACAACCTCTTCTGTCTTCCTTCTCCCTTTCTAGTGTTTTTACAAACTAAAAATAATAAATACACTGGGACTGGGAGTCTTTGGGTGTCTCACGATTCAATTCGATTTCGATTCACAATTCGATTCAGAACGATTCTGGATTCATGGATTCAAAGTCTGTTTTTTGAATGAGTGCATACTTCAGGATCTACTCCAGTCATCTGTGAGACTGGCTGACTTTCTTGTTGGTCTTTTGGCATTCTACTGAGTTAAGGAGCTAGTCTTAGCACTTACCAGGGAGTGACTGACTAGCCATAAAAATACTAATAATACGTCAAAGAATTATCGATTTTTGAAAATTGTGAATCGATTTTTACATGAATAGATTTGTTTGCCCACCTCTAATACACACATACCTATGATTCACAATTCTACCCCCAGTAGACCTGTAGAGACGCTCTGATACACTCTGCTTCTGCTCGTATGTATTTGCATGAAATCCAACACAATGCTCCCTCCACATTATTTACTGCCATACTAATCTGGTGTATATATGTATAATTTCCAAATACCATGTGCTACTTTCTCCCATTTTGCTACATTAATCATTTAAAGTAACTCTTTATCAATCTCCTTCTTCTTGCCTCTCTCCTCCCGCCTGTTCTTTGCGGCTTTTAGGAATGTATTAGAAGCAAACATGTCAAAGAATGTATACATACCTATATTTCTTACTTGTGTCTATTTCTCTCTATATCTCATGTTGTAAACTTGGATTTTACATATCATTGACATTTTGTATATTTCTTACTTGTATTCACATCTCCTGTAGTTCTTCAATCAATCAATCTTTTCAATTCATGAAAAATGTCATCTAAAGACACTTCACAAAAAGAGCAGGTCCAGACTGTGCTCTTTGTTGTTTTATTCTTCATGCTTCTGTTAAAGAGCAACTGCAAGGCACAAATCCCCCCCCCCCAAGGAGATGAATAAAGTATATCTGATTCACTTCTTTTGTGAGTACTGTGTATGAGAATACTTTAGGGCCAGTCTGACCTGCATCCACTCTGCTGCCACTGTGCCTTACTGACACACAGAGGAGTCTGGGTAAGCAGCAGTTTTTCTTTATTATGTGTGTTAAGGGTCCATGTTCAACAGAGCTTCAGAAACCTCTGCGCCAAAATAACCGGCTGACTGTGTAAGCTCCCCTTGCCTCATTTCCTGTGTTAAACTCTTCCAGGGGGGTGGAGGTAAGACCCCAGAATCAGGGGTAGAGCTTTCTTATAGTTCCTTCAAAGTTAAAGCCTAACTCCCTGCACTCACTGGGAAGTGTTTACTATGAAGCATCTGCACAAACAGTCACTGAACATGCAGGCTTTTCAACTCCTGCCTGCTCCTCTGATAATAAATCACACCTGCACTACAACACCTGCCAACACAATACCTGCCAACACAAATAAAAAAATACAACAAATCTAAACAGATCCAGCTTTTTGAGAAAACCAAAAATTCAGATGTATCATTTGCTGCGATCAGGTTTTTGGTACAAATAGAACAGAAAATAGGTTGTCCTTGGTTGTGACAATTTTTTTTTTACGCGTTGCTATGCACTGTTCCAACTCAGCGGGTTACTCACTGAGGGGTCAGTGTCTCCATCGATTCATTTTAATGACTGACAGCCAAGAAAGGCTGCTAATGGCTGGCAGGGAATGCATGGATTATTTGATACAACCGAATGCCAGAGCTGCCAATTACAACTTTGTTATACTCTGCAGGTTAAAAATATATATGTTAAGATCCAGTTTGTTGGTTTTAGTAACCATAATTATTTCCCGGGAGGCAGTCATATAGAAAATACAGGTGATGAGCTTGTTACTGTATTACTGTGTGTGTGTGTGTGTGTGTGTGTGTGTGTGTGTGTGTGTGTGTGTGTGTGTGTGTGTGTGTGTGTGTGTGTGTGTGTTGCTCTTACTTTGCGGCCATCGCTTGCATGGCAGTTGACGTTGAGCGGGGTAAGCAGGGCCATTAGCTTCTCCTCGTTCCCACTCCTGAGAATGTACACATGCAAAAACACATATTAGATAGAAAACCTCCAACACCGTAGAGGATTAGCACTGTGCCTCAGCAGGAGAGTGAGGGGGAGAAAATGAGGGCGAATGAGATTAGAAGCTTGGAGGGAAGAGAGAGAAATTTCATCAAAGAAGAAAAATAACAGAAATGGATTGAAAGGTTGTGTGTGTTTTTCTTGTAAACCTGACTACAAGTTACAAATCTGCAGAATATTAAGTGTAGCTACGGAAGAGTTGTGCTTTTGTTAGTGTTGTTGGGGTGTGTTTCTTGGTTCCTCACATTTCTGCCATCGCTTTGGGTGACCACCGGAAAAGCGTTGCCAAGGCATCATCCCTGTGACAGTCGTAAATGAAGAACTATCAACGCAAGATGCCGAGGATTATTCTTGTTGCCCTCCTCTCCTTCTCTCTCTTTTTTTTATACTTTTGTTGTTCTGGTATGGGCTTCTCCTTCCTTCTCTTAATTCTTCAATTTTTCACTCTCGTCCACAAAAAAACATCCTCAACGCTCTGCTTTTCTCCAACTGCAATTCTGCGATCTTCCTTTGCTTTTAACCCTTTCCCCCTCATTAGATCGTACATTTGCCGCCCTCTCCTTATTAGGTGTCTCCTTTAGTTATCCTTATCTTTATCCATATTTTACTCAGCTAACATCTAAGTTTTGCTTCTCAAACAAAAGGCAGACTTTATTTCAAACAGCATGGTGTTGTATGGGTTTGTCTATTTTAGAGATGTCTGGAGAGCAGTATTGTTATCTTAAGAGCTGAAGCAAATCAAAAGAGAAAATCTAAATATTTAAAAGTACTTCATTATTTTGGGAAATATATTAATACACTCTCTTTACCAGAAGTAGTTTGATACTGATTTAATATCTAACTAAATCATTGAAAACAACATCAAGCAGACAGAGCCTGGCTCCACTTTTTACCCAGTTTTGAGTCTTAATGCTAAACTAATGGTCTCTAAACACCAAATTTATATCCAAGAGACAGACAGGACTATGGGTTTAAGTTCATCATCAGAATATAAAGTCATAAATATCAGCAATTAATTAAAGTGATACATGAATATATCAATGATTAAAATCCAAGAACACCAAACTAATTAGCCTGAAATGTCCTATTCTGATTATTTTAAAACGTTTGTACTATCAAACTAATTCACTAGAAGGTGAACATTATTTTGCATTTAGTGGCAAGGTTGATGTTGATATCAATATTTAGCTGAAAGGACAGTGAGTATATGGAATATTAAATATCTTAACATTCATGACGTTGACAAAAATATGCCTATAATGTTGTCAGAAGATCGAATGATGCGGATTTGAAGCAAAAATAAATTTCTTGCTTGGACAATTTAGCGTAATACTTGTAAAAATGTCTAAGAACACGATGTAAATGAATATCTAAAATGGATTTCAATGATGTGAAAGCTTTAAGCAACGCAAACATACCATTTACCAATAGTGATAGTGAATCAATCATTGGATTGAGATCAAGAGAAGACTCAGATCAACAAAGACTTTGGACAGACTTGACTTACTTGTCAGCTTACAGGCAGCCTTAAAGGGACTTCATTGGTCTACTGTACAAGAATGTTTAACCCCACATTGAATTACAATGCATGGAGGGATTACTTTACTCTAGGAATATGTAGAACCATTTCACCAGTTGTACCTTTAATTATTCTATAACAGTATGCAAGGATGATATCTGGGCCACAAATGGTAAAAAAAAAACATGATATCCCATAAGCTGTGTGGGAGTTATTTGTCCAAACACAACACTAAAAAAAGATGTGACCAAAAAAAAAAAAAAGAGAAACCTTCTGAAAAAATGTCATTGGTGATGTGCCAGCCAGCGGCTCAGCTGTGATAGAAGCACACTGAGTTCACAGTTCACACTTAAACAGCCTGCTGACCCCATAATACACTGGGGTACTGCTATGCAAGGCCAGCTGCTTCCTAGTGTGTGTGTGTGTGTGTGTGTGTGTGTGTGTGTGTGTGTGTGTCCAGGAGAGGGAGGAAGGGAGAGAGGGGGTGAGAGAGAGATGGGAAGGGAGGCTGTTGAGGCATTGAGCACTCAGCCACCCACACACAATCCCAAAGAGAGCTATGCCATTTCCACATGCAAGAGACAAAAACACACACACACACACACACACACACACACACACACACACACACACACACACACACACACACACACACACACACACACACACACACACACACACACACACACACACACACACACACACACACACACACACACACACACACAAAAACATTGCCCACATGCATTGCCTGCAACCAAAACAAGCCTCAGAAAATGCATGCGTTCCTGGCCCACATGTTTTGAGCTCAGGATCTGAAGAAACACCTGTCTATTGCAAAGCATCAGTGTGTGTGTGTGTGTTTGAATTTCATTTTAATGATTTTTATTTCATTTCAACATATTTTCATATTTAACCTGTGATTGTGTTTGTGATTTTTAAATTGCCTACTTTAATGTTCCTTTTTTTCCTCTGTCATGGTGCTTCTGATGTCTTGTGTGAAGCCTTGTTGTTGAAATGTGCTTTATAGATAAACTTGCCTTGCCTTGCTTAGTGTGCGTTGGTAAAAGAGGGACGAATGAACAAGTCATAAACAAAGACTGGGAATATAGAGGCAAAATGAGAAGTTGGAAGGGAAATTGGGGGATATTTGATGAAATGGATGAAAGGAGAGAAAAAAAAATGACAGCAAGACACAGCAATAAGAGGAGATGAGACGAGAGGAGGAATATTTTAAAGGAAACGCGAGTAGAAAGACATAGTAGAACATAAAAGAAGACAAAAAAAACAAGGATATTAGATAGGACAAGACGGAAATAAGGACCAAGGGAGGATGAAAGGAAGCATGAAAAGAAAGGAGAGGGTAAGAAACAACAACCGGAAACAGGAAACACAAGTGGACTAGAGAGGAGAGGAAATGGAATGCACACAGCAGGGGGGAAATAAAGGAAAGGGAGAAGAGGAAATGTGAAGAATTGTGGAAATTGATGACAGCAGATAAGGGAAGAGAGGAATGAAAAGGTGCGGGGAAAGGAAACAAACGGAAGAGGAGGGGTGGGGGGATGAAAGTAAGCGTGGCAACAAGAGGTGTGAGGAGGAAAAACTGAACAGGCTGAACAGGTGAACAAGGAAGAGGGAAAACAAACCAAGAGGGAAAACATTTAGAGATGCCACATAGTAGGAAAAACGGCACAATAAGGCAGGAAAAAACAGGAGAAACAGATACACTGAAAACAAAGAGCATGCCGAGTGTGGTACTCACCTCGCCGCCTCCAGCAGCTCATCCTTCTTGTATTCACCTAGATGATTACAGAAGATCATGGTGTCAGACAGCTGGCCACTAACACACAGCGACCACATGCACACACACATGATCAAGCAGAGAGAACAACCACACAGACATGTGAAGACACAAACACACACACACACACACACACACACACACACACAGAGGAAGGATCTATCTACTGGAGGAAGACACCATCTCTCTTTCTATCTCTTCCCCCCCTCCTCCTCCTCTCTTTCTCTGGCTTTCTCACTCAGTGCGCACCCCTCTGGCTCCGGTTGCCGTGACGATGCGTTGCCGGCAGCGACCACAGCACGTTCATTGTTTGGCCGAGGAGCGGCAAACTGACGCGCGCTCTGCCTCTATCGGTCCGTGGGTCGGTCCATTCCTCCCTCCTTTGCCACGTTTGTCTCCCGTCTCTCGGCCGCCGCTCATTTTGCTAACCATCTTCGCTCATTCTCCATCATCCCTGTCTTCCTCTCTCTCTCTCTCTCTCTCTCTCTCTCTCTCACTGTCTCCCTGCTATATTTTCCAGTGGGCTCAGGAGGCGCAGTTACCATCAAAAAAACACAACAGAAATAAACAAACCCCTCCCCCTACATCCCTCACCCTCTCTCCAGCTCTCTCTCCCTCTCCCAGCCCTGCCCCCCTGCTACTACAGTCACAACACACACACCTTCCCATATGTGTCTCTTCTGGCTGGGAAACAGAGACAAGGGAGGGGGAGACAGTAGCTGCTCTCAGACAAGTTATATGTAACCTTCTGTCTGATTAATCTCTCTGTTTAACTTGTGGCTTTTCCACTTCACACAGTCTGCCTTTAGGGGTGCACTATTTCAAAAAACAGATGGATTATTGATGATGAAAAACAAGGTTTCTTGTGTCAATTTCAAACTAAATTGCATTATAGATTTTATGAGTGTCCTGATCAGTCTGTATTATCACTCAAATCAGCCTGGGAACTGAACGATCTACTCTCTTCAGGGTATCTTCAAAGATTTGAAAACACGTGTTTTATCTCTTTCAGACTATGTTTCACAGTAAAAATGAAAGGAGACATGGTTGAAATTACTACTGACTTTGTATCCCATGACATGTAGTTGAGCTCGAAAATCAATGCACCCTACGATTTCCATATTTGGAACATCTTCCACCAGACCCTTCTCACTAAATCACATTTTCTTTGAAAGGAGTTGATTTGGCAGTTTGGGCTCTGTTTCTCAATATCACAAATTAACTCCTTTTATAGGATTCATAATCCGCAGATAAACAGAAAAATCAAAGCAGGTGTTGATATTAAGATAATGACATGCTGAATCCATTTTCTGTGGGTGCTGTGACTTGCTCTGTGTTTCATGGAAGTGACGTAAGGAAATGCTCAAATTCTCATTTCTTTTTTTTTTTTAGGGGGGGGCAGCTTTTAATGCCTTTATTCAGAGATAGGACACTGAATAGAGTCAGAAATTGTGGAGGAGAGAGAGAGAGAGAGAGAGAGAGAGAGAGAGAGAGAGAGAGAGAGAGAGAGAGAGAGAGAGTGGGCAATGACAGGAAATGGCTCAAAAGGAGCCACAGGTCAGATTCCAACCAGGGCTGCCCACTTTGAGGACCAAACCCTTCACACCTGGGGTGCACACACTAAGCATTAGGCTAGTGGCGCTACTGAAACTCTAATAATAGATTTTGAAACAAATACTTTTTATGTAATGATTCTTGCCTCTTTTTCAACTGGCCAGACTTGAGGCTGTTGATGTTCAGCACGTTAATTAAAGGGAAGATAGTTCAAGTGCATCAAGCAAATACTTATAATTTTACAAAAGTAGCTGAAACATTTATGTGAAGTCTTTTTGTTGTGCTATCCATGAAGTGGTCTACTTTGTAAAATATAGACTTGTTTTTAAAGAAAGGTCGAATAATAGAAGGGGAATTGAAAACAGTAAAATGTTGGTTGTAGCTGCAGGCTCTTATTATAGTTTGCATTTAAAAGTGGCACTCCAATATGTCATCAAGGTAAATTATGTAGTTCACATAAAACTGTCTGGCAACGTCCAGCCAAGCAGCAACATACCGAGATGTGATTTGAAGACCCTGTCACACAAGAAAACCAAAATGGAAAATTTGCCAGCACATCCAAGCAACAATGTTCATCTCGGAGACGGGCCTCAGAGGCAGAGAGGTATAAAATTGAAATGGGAAATAAAAGAAATCAAAGGCAGACTGAGTTTGTAAATGTAATACAGATAAATGAAAATAGGATGAGGAGGACGGGCTGTGTGTACATGGCGCAGGCTAAGGGGTGGGGTAGGGTGAGGAGTAGAGAAGAAAGGTTATAGAGAAGGGAGAAGGGGGAGGAGGGAGGAACAAAGGATTTGCAGATGAAAGAGAGAAGGGATGATTAGGGATCTGCAAACTGACATGCATGGATTTGACACACTATAATTGGTGTTAGCGGGGCTAAGGCGGAACAGTCGGAGGAAGAAGAAATGGTGGGGGGTGACAGAGAGGGGCAGAGAGGCAGAAAAATATGAATACAGAAAGAGAACAGATGAATGTACAGAGAGAGATCATGACTTTAAATTGGATGGTGTGGATTAGAAGTAGCTTTTTCATTCCACACCTGAAGTGGAAACATTTTAAATTCAATTTCATTGAAGCCAATTTTATATTTGTGCTATTTATTTAGGTATTGAAACATGCTCATTAAAATTCCCACAAGACAAATAATTATAACCAGAGTGGGACAGGGAATTAATGATAATCTACTAGAAAATTGGCTTTTTTGACAAATACAAAAAAATCATATATTAAAAATGTTTCTGTTTATGCTAAGCTATTCCTTTTGCCACTTTTTTCAGTTGTGAATCAAATGTGTAAACTTACACTGCAACCAAAGAAACATATTCCATATCATTATGTTCAGTGAGTCTGCTGTCATGCACTGTGTGCAAATGATTTGTTGGCACTAGATATTCGTTTTGCTCAGCCATAGTTTGCTTCCATTATTTTTCATGCTTTGAGAGCTCAAGCGATTGTGACTCAGCAGTTTTAATTATTCCCTCTCTATCTCGGTCTCTCACCCACGCACACATCAACACACAAACAGTGAACACAGAGCGAGAGGTGATTTGACTAAAGGTGTTAAACAGCAGCCACTCTGTAACTCATACACCTGATGCAGCACACAACGAAATAACTATTCAATATTTTTATTCAGCTTGGCGTATTCGTTTTTTCTTCAACTCATATGAAATCAACATTAAAATGTTTTTAAAAAATCAGAATCCACGAATGAGTCCAGTGTTCTTTCCAGTGGTCTTATTATAAAAAAACCTAACAAAGCAGTGTTCTTTTTTTTAATATGGGCACAATGTTTAAAACTGCTGAACAAAGTTGATAAAAACATCGGCCTTAGTCGGACTTAAAGGACAGGAATTCAGTTATGTTTGTTTTCAAACTGCCAGCAGGAGTCGCCAAAGACACACATTCTGCAACCCGTTATAAAAATGTCCTGTTCTTCAATGAGAAGAAAGCAATAAACAAGTTTAGAAAAACACTTACCATTTCCCTGTGACTGTACCCTAAAGTACATACGACAACATTGCATCTGCTGTTATCTGAATTTAAAAAAGGTGTCTCCCCATTGTGGCTGGATCGGCTAATAATGAGGCTAATATGCTCAGTTATATTGAACAAAAAGTGCTCATTTGAATACTGGCAATGTGTACTGTACATGTTTGGCTGCATTTACATATTTATAGTGGCAAATGTTATGCAGCAATGTCTTGAGATGGTGGAAGATGTATGCGTGTGTGTGCAAGGTTTGGACAATTCTGCTGACTCCAAACAGAAGAGACAAGGACAGGTTAAAGCTTGGGACAGGCTAGCTGCCTCCTGAATGATGATATATTGTGTGTTTTTGTGTAAGAGAGTGTACATGTGTGTGTGTGTGTGTGTGTGTGTGTGTGTGTGTGTGTGTGTGTGTGTGTGTGTCTTTGTCACTCCCTAGGCAGAGTGCTGTAGACACCAGATATCACTGTTTGAATTCCAATTACTGTAAGCTTGAAGATTTGAACTTTGTCAGTACATGCATGTGTATGTGGTTGCGCACAGGTGAGTATAAGCCAATGTCAAACTGTCCTCATTCTAAATATATTATTTACATATATATCTTGACAATGAAGCAAGAGTCTGGCATACTGTGTGTGTGTGTGTGTGTGTGTGTGTGTGTGTGTGTCTGTGTACCAAATTGTTCTACAGGCACAGATGATGCTGACTGATGCTGACTGGACCATGAGTCGCCTCAGTGCCCAGCTGTCTGCGTGTGCGTGTGCGTGCGTGTGTGTCTGTCTGTGGGTTGCTGTGTGTTCAAATCAAATATCATTTGTTGTAGAAGCAGTTTATCCGCTGTTATACAACAACTGGCTTTGAGTCAGGAGTTGAGAGATCCACTTATAACCTCAGCAAGGTCGCAACTGCTGAGGTTATAAGTGGATCTGTGTACCGAGACCAATCAAAGGAGGGGTACAAATAATGGAATGAGACGTGAATGGAAATTATTATAGGGAGGTGTTCGTTCACTTTGCTGGCTCAGCATACTTCACACACTAGTGAATGAAGGCCTCACCAACTGTTACTGTTTCACTGTTAGATAAATTACAATCTATTTGAAGCCAAAGGCGTTCAAAATGTTTTTTCTTGAATCTTCTGAATAATTATTTATTCTTTATAATGACAAATGTTTACAATATTTTTTCGACCAACCGATATTCAGATAATTTGAAAAAAGTCGTCAAGTCGCTTGCATTAGCACCAAGTCAAAGGCGCGAGTACAGTAGCGCCGACTCGTCAAGCATTTGTAAACTGCAGAAAGTTTGCAAGGGACAGCCCAAAGGCTAAAGCATTCATTTGATGGTAATAAAACTTAAAAGCATCACTAGGATCTAAACACCAGCTCACTTCCCCCTTATTCCCTAAAATGGTCAGAACTCATAAGGTAAAAATCTCATCAGAATTTGG